CTCTATCTCCTCACCAGTCTCAGTGCAGATCAAATAGTCTTTTTTAAGTTTATACTTGACCGGATGATCCGAAAAGGATTTACCCATGGCTGCCTGAAAAGCGAAATTCAAAGAAGGGTCCTTTCGTTGTTCCTCCTGGAAGGACAGTCCCTCGGGCATGGAAACAGAGATATCTGGCAATCCTGCAACCTTGGAATATGAAGGCTTGATCTGGGTCTGTACACTTAATCTACGAGGCCCTGGCCAGTTTTCCTCGTAAAACAAATTGGCTATTCCGAGATCGGAGTCGTCCAAGGATAGGTCAACATTTTCGCCAGACAACCCTTGGGATATTGCCCGAGTTATGGCCAACACCAGAGAAGAATTAATCATTAAGGGTTCAGGACATACATTAACAGTGGTAATGTTATTACCCAGTAATAACATGGCATCTTTCATGGGGAATCCCTCAGATACACCCACAGTCAAGTATAGGGTGTAATATTTGCAATGTACATAAATTCTATGCAAGGGGACAGAATATATAGCTCCTCCAAATGCTTCCAACAAAACAGAGGAATTTAAGGAGGTGTTCTTTGAAAGGGGTAATATTTCCTCTCTTATAAGTGAGCAATATGCTCCAGTATCTCTAAAGGTTTTGACTTCAGTTGTTTTGGAGTTTCCCTGAAGGGAAATGAGACTCTGACAGTAATAAGGAGCCATCCCTTTCTCTACTTCTTTCAGGGACATGTTACTAGGGACATTAGAGATTTTCCCAATAAGTTGGGGTTTGTGGGGGCAGTTGGGATGGATGTGACCTACTTTGTTACAGAGGAAACAGACGACAGGCTTGCCCTTTACTCCCTGCTGACGTTGCAACTGGTGTTGCTCTGGCTGGTATCTCTCTGGATACTGTTGTCAAGTTACACCATGTTGAGTGGTTTGTCTCTCACCAGGTGGACCATAAGTTGAGAAGCGTGGCTCCCCAGGTGACTTAGTTGGCTGACGTAGACGTTCTCCCTCCGGCTGGCACTTCATCCTCCAAGGTTGACGATCTCTGCTCATGCCAGGCTGTTGAAAAGAGAGATGGGACCGCTCGCACAAGGAGCGGTTAGTTAGTTTCAAAGGTATCAGCCAACCTGGCTGCCTCCAGTGCAGTGGTTAAGTCATGATCCTGCAGAAAGACTCTAACCTCTGGTCCCATAGACTAGCAGAATAGGCTGCACAAGATCATCGAAGGTAGCAACACCACTTGCTTTATACCAGCTGGTAAAAGCTTTAGTCTGCTGTCGCACAAAATCAACCAGGGATTGACCAAGCTCTAGTCTGCCTAACTTGAAAAGTTTCTTATACTTAGCTGGGATACATGTATATGCTCTCAAAACTGTGGTCTTCACTACTTTATAATCGGAAAAATCAGTGTCATTTAACACTGACGTAAATTCCTGTGCCTTACCAAACAATGCTGTGTGAACCAACGATGCCCAATGCTGTTCCGGCCACCTCAAGGCTCGAGCCTGATTTTCGAAAGCTTCGAAAAATTGTTCTGGTTCGGCCTCATTGAAGCGGGGAACAAGCTGTACTGCTTTCTGCAAACTAAAGTCATTTACAAGTTGCGAAAACTGCCTTCTTTCTTTTTCCCTACCAAACTCTTCCTTGGCAAATGCGCTCTGTTCCCTAGTCTGCTCAAGATTGATTTTTGCCAGCTCACGTGCCAACGCCGCTGATTCACCTTAAAACAACCCTGCTGCACTAGATTTACGATTTTGCTCCATTGATGTATCATCTTCCTCCTGCGAGAACATCGGAGGGAGGAGTCTGATGTGCCATCTCCTCTTCCCGAAGTTTGTCGGTGATCAGTGAACGCAGTTGCGCAGTTGTGAGAGTGCGTTCGTAATCAATGCCAATGGAACGAGCAATTTGCCAACAACGCTGTAGGGACAATTTAGGCAAGTTAAATAAAGTATATGCCGACACCAGACGTCTGACTCGTCTAGGTGGCATACCCCAATGTAAAAGTTATTTGCTATGCACAGTACGATTGCAGAATACCCCTATGTAACACGTTATTTGCAGAACGTGCTTAGCTATGCACAATACAACTGCAGAATACACACATAGGCTTGCAAGGTGAATACACAATAGCAAAGCTGACTGCAAAATCTTAACACAAGATTGACCATAGTGAAGCGAGCACACCGAACAAGCTAGTAGCGAGCTGTTGAATGATCATATAATAGCAAGGCTGACCATAGCAAGGCAATTGACATGCAAAGTTTATAAAGCGTTGGCAAAGCTAATGCAATGCCAGACAGCAAGCTACATAATGTTCCTGCTTCCAGCATCCCCCTAGGCTGAACCCGTGCTCTAAGTCCAGCTCCAGCTCCCGGACAGGCCCCCATATTACAACCCAGGAGTCCCAAAGGCCTGTTATCCTGGGTGTAAAGGGAGCAAAATAAACACAGCAGAAAAACTTTTCACTTACATTATCCTTCACCAATTTAGAACAGAAGTATGTACACTATATACACTATGTACAACAATAGTTATTAGTGCACTCCACGGTAAGCAAGGCAGAATAGAAGCCACTAGAGAGCAGACCGTGCTTCAACCAACTCTAGAATGGGAATGACAAGGGCAGACGGGTGAGTGGTACCCACGTCACCTCTGCGATTGCCAGAACCATCTTCTCATTGGCTGGAACCTGCGTACTGATTGAACGACGGGGCCCCATCGTCAACCCTTAGTCCCTGGTTCGTTGGTTGGGGGAGATAGCCTGTAAATGAGGGTGTGTACATGCACCGAATAAAGGTTATGCACTCTATGCATGCAACATAAGACATGACTTGAAAGAGAGTATATACATCCAGAATGAACACCTTCACTGAGTAACACACGAATGTAAGGTATTCTACGACACAGGTAGTCACATCGTATAACAAAGATATCTGGTTATAACTGTCTACTGACTTCACCACACAATTCCTAACTCAAGCCAGTTCAGGAGTTTCTAAACTAGACTCTGTAAGACATCAAGAGAGAACAGTACTGGAGTACTAGTAGGTCTGCTAGGACACTGTTCACCGAGTCAGCAGTGAGTGTGGACTGAACTTTTACAACAACTTCTTTCATGACGTCAACTCGTCAAAGGGGAGAGAGTCTGAATTAACCACCAAGGACATACGTCGATATAAACCTTATATATATATATATATATATATATATATATATATATATATATATATATATATATATATATATATATTATATATATATATATATATATATATATATATATATATGTCTTGAGTAATTGGCAATATATATATATATATATATATATATATATATATATATATATATATACATACCCGAGTATAATCATAATAATTACATATTTCTAAATCAGATAATATTATAAACTAGTGGAATCTTTAATTTAGCTAATATTAAAGAAACCCCGAGTATAATATTAAGTGGACAATACATATACATTCTATATAAATCAATCTCATTATGACGTTGGTCATAACACTGACTGACTGACTGACTGACTAACAGGACGAGTAAGCCCTGGTATCCACACAATAAGCTACCCTAGGCCACCAGAGTTTCGGGGGAATAGGTACGGTCGGGACCAGGAACATAAAACCTTCTCGGAGGAGGACCCAGGAGCTTTGACTCAACCCTTGTAAACACAACTAGACGATGATACATTAGACACGTGTAAAACATCAGGGTATCTTGTAGACGCTTCGCCATCCAGTGGCTTTATCAAAACATTACATGGACACGGCATACCTTCACGGCGTACACTCATCTGACGCCAGTATATAAGCACCAGTTTTCCTGCCTGAGGTTCACACTCTTCAAGAATACGTTACTCAACACCTGATCGTAGACTCGGGGACTGATTACCTCATCTTCCAATATATACATTTCTACAGTCTTCAGAATATATTTATGTATTGTATTGATAAAGTCACTGGATGACGAAACGTCTCCAAAGTAAAGATACCCCAGATGTTTCTAGTGTGTTTGTATACCATTGTTATACTCTCGAGTCTACAACAGGACGCGCCTGAGTAAGTGAAAATAACATAAAACCTACCGTAGAGTTTTGCCCGTAAAAAATACATTATTATTAATAATAATACGTTAATAATAATAATGCATTAATAATAATAATAATAATAATAATAATAATAATAATAATAATAATAATAATAATAATAAATAACAAGCAATAATAGCATTAGCAACGATTAACAAGAAATACTTATGTTCATGTTTAAGAATGATTGTATTATCATTATCATCATCAGTATCATCAGACAGTATCATCATCAGTATCATCAGACTGTATGATCATCAATATCATCAGACAGTATCTTCATTAGTATCATCATCAGTATCATCATCAGTATCATCAGACAGTATCATCATCAGTATCATCAGAACGTAACATCATAAGTATCATCAGACTGTATGATCATCAATATCATCAGACAGTATCTTCATTAGTATCATCATCAGTATCGTCAGAGAGTTTCATCGTCAGCTTCATCAAACAGTATCATCAGTATCATCAAACTATATGATCATTAGTATCATCAGATAGTATCATCATCAGTATCATCAGATTGTATGATCATCATTATCATCAGACAGTGTCATCATCAGTATCATCAGACTGTATAATCATCAGTATCATCAGACAGTATCATCATCAGTGTCATCAAAAAGTAACATCATCAGTATCATCAGACTGTATAATCATCAGTATCATCAGACAGTATCATCATCAGTGTCATCAGAGAGTATCATCATCAGTATCTTCAAACAGTACCATCATCAGTATCATTAGACTTTATCATCAATATCATCATCATTATCATCATCAGTATCATCAGACAGTATCATCATCAGTATCATCAGACAGTATGATCGTCAGTAGTAATAGTGTAATAACGGTAACTGATGGTGTAAGGATAGTACCAACATATTGGTTGTTTCTCCAGGTCCGCAGCTTAACAACCATACACTGCTGGAGTTCACCCAGAGCGACGCTGACGTGGGTTCCTTACGGGTGACGGAGGCCGTGTTGTGGGTGTACGTAAGGCGACCTGTCGGAGTACGTCACCACGACGCTAGTCGTCCCAGACCCAAGCTGTGGGTGTTCCGTGTTCCTCTAGAGGACACCCGTCAGGTGAGATCACAGGTGTTCCGTGTTCCTGTACAGGGAACATATCAGGTGAGACCACAGGTGTTCCGTGATCCACTAGAGGACACCTCTCAAGTTGGGCATAGAACCCATGTAGTGTTTCGGTTTGTAGTGAACCATCATCTAAACGATAAATATTTAATTTTCAATTATAATTCGACGTGATTTAAATTCAGTTTTAAAACCAACAAATTATCAGTTAACAGTTAATTTAAAAACATTTTTTTTTATTTAATTTTCATTAAAATCATTAGGTATATACATATATATATATATATATATATATATATATATATATATATATATATATATATATATATATATATTTTGTATGTATGTATAGTGACATGCAGTGTATTACTGAGGGTCCAGGGTTTGATCTCCGGCACGGGTAGAAACGTTAGGTATGTTTCCTTACTCCTGCTGTCCCTGTTCACCTAAATGTCAGGAGGTTCCTGAGTGTTAGCCGGCTGTTGTGGGTGGCATCCTGGGGGCGGTTGTATACCTTAGATAAAGGTTGGACTTGAATAAACTTAGGATAACAGATTTTAACATGTAACTGAGCTGAATAAGATAACGGCTCCTACCTTGTAAATTGAACTGCGCAAAATGGATAGTTATTTGATATTCAGTCCACTGTAGGCTAGATATGGCAGGACTAGCATGTACTCGAGTCGTTATCTAAGTAACGGCCTCTAGACCGTAAGATAGTCCGGCTTCCGAAGTTATGATATTACTGGTGAAGCTGGTGTAAGTCTACATCTTCACTAGTGAGGCTGGTGTAAGTCTACATCTTCACTAGTGAGGCTGGTGTAAGTCTACATCTTCACTAGTGAGGCTGGTGTAAGTCTACATCTTCACTAGTGAGGCTGGTGTAAGTCTACATCTTCACTAGTGAGGCTGGTGTAAGTCTACATCTTCACTAGTGAGGCTGGTGTAAGTCTACATCTTCACTAGTGAGGCTGGTGTAAGTCTACATCTTCACTAGTGAGGCTGGTGTAAGTCTACATCTTCACTAGTGAGGCTGGTGTAAGTCTACATCTTCACTAGTGAGGCTGGTGTAAGTCTACATCTTCACTAGTGAGGCTGGTGTAAGTCTACATCTTCACTAGTGAGGCTGGTGTAAGTCTACATCTTCACTAGTGAGGCTGGTGTAAGTCTACATCTTCACTAGTGAGGCTGGTGTAAGTCTACATCTTCACTAGTGAGGCTGGTGTAAGTCTACATCTTCACTAGTGAGGCTGGTGTAAGTCTACATCTTCACTAGTGAGGCTGGTGTAAGTCTACATCTTCACTAGTGAGGCTGGTGTAAGTCTACATCTTCACTAGTGAGGCTGGTGTAAGTCTACATCTTCACTAGTGAGGCTGGTGTAAGTCTACATCTTCACTAGTGAGGCTGGTGTAAGTCTACATCTTCACTAGTGAGGCTGGTGTAAGTCTACATCTTCACTAGTGAGGCTGGTGTAAGTCTACATCTTCACTAGTGAGGCTGGTGTAAGTCTACATCTTCACTAGTGAGGCTGGTGTAAGTCTACATCTTCACTAGTGAGGCTGGTGTAAGTCTACATCTTCACTAGTGAGGCTGGTGTAAGTCTACATCTTCACTAGTGAGGCTGGTGTAAGTCTACATCTTCACTAGTGAGGCTGGTGTAAGTCTACATCTTCACTAGTGAGGCTGGTGTAAGTCTACATCTTCACTAGTGAGGCTGGTGTAAGTCTACATCTTCACTAGTGAGGCTGGTGTAAGTCTACATCTTCACTAGTGAGGCTGGTGTAAGTCTACATCTTCACTAGTGAGGCTGGTGTAAGTCTACATCTTCACTAGTGAGGCTGGTGTAAGTCTTCATCTTCACTGGTGATCCTGGTGTAAGTCTTCAGTTTCACTGGTGATCCTGGTGTAAGTCTTCAGTTTCACTGGTGATACTGGTGTAAGTCTTCATTGTCCTGTATTTAAAGCTTATGAACAGACTCAGGCACTCTCAAGAGTGATACTGCGTTACAGTAATCACGGTAAAGTTAGTACTCAGCTGTAGAGAGATGGACCAGTTCCCATAAAGCAGGAGTTGACTGTAGCTTCAACTACAACGTCAACTCCTTCCTAAACCCTCACTGATGGTTGACCGCAGTCTAACCTGCCAGGTTAGACTGCGGCCAACTAAAAAGAATTTTTCTTCTTCTAATAAGCAATGACTGGAGGACCTTATGGAAAGTGACAAAACAGACGTTAAGTTACGTACTGTTTGGCTAAATATTTGCTGGTTGCCAAATTTAAGTCCAGTGAGGATACAAGATTGTAAACATCACAGTAACAGCTGTAAGTTTCCATAAATGATGAAACATTTTCCAGTTTCAAGAGTGGAGTGAAGGTGAAGTGTAAACCCACATAGGTAACAAAATATTGTCTGATAAGAAAAACCAGAACGACCTCTGTATCCCTGCAGTCCTCTTACAGCTTAAGTCTAATTCTTTCATAGTGTTACGTTGTCGCTAGAGCTGGGTTCCTCAGTAGACCTTAGACGAATTACTACAGTGTCGCCAGAGCTGTGTTTCTCAGTAAAGTTTTGATGAATTACTTCATTGTTGACTTAAGAAATCGTAATGACACGATTGCAAATAAACCATACCCCCGGCCGGGATTGAACCCGCTGGAGTTTTGAGAGTCTATGACCGCGGGTTCAATCCCGGCCGGGGGTATGGTTTATTTGCAATCGTGTCATTACGATTTCTTAAGTCATGTTGACGGCAGTGAAGGGACTTGAGCTAGAGTTCGTCACGGCCACGCTAGCTGGAGATTCGTCTGTAAAAACTTGCATTTGTGGTCACAGAGGTGCCTGTGCTAACTTTCCTATGGTGTAGAAATATACCTAGTTGGATGAATCTTATTGTGGCTAGCTGGTCTAGTGGTTAACGCGACGGGCTGGAGTTTTGAGACTCTATGACCGCGGGTTCAATCCCGGCCGGGGGTATGGTTTACTTCATTGTTGCAAGAACTGGGTTCCTCAGTAAACTTCTGATGAATTACTTCAGTGTTGCGAGAGCTGGGCTCCTCAGTAAACATCTGACGAATCCTCTAAGCGACGACTTGAAAGAGAATTCCTTCTCTCATCGTATGCTGATTATATCATCAATGAGAAACCTTGAACATGTGTTGCGTTTCGTTGAGAAACACGAGAACCATGTTTCATGTAAGCCGTCACTGTCTCACACATTTTCTTTACTGTCCGGGAATTATATGGAAAAATAAGAACATAAGAAAAAAGGAACATTGCAGCAGGCCTAATGGCCCATGCGAGGCGGTTCTAAGTCACCTCCCGGCTTAAACCAATGACCCACCTAGTCAGGTCAGGTTATATTCACTTAAGGAAGGATCACGGCATCAGACCTTTTAGCACAAGCTAGTCAGGTTCATCTCACACCCACCCACACCCACTCATGTATTTAACTAACCTATTTTTAAAACTACACAACGTCTTAGGTTCTCTGACGGTACTCGGGACTTTGTTCCACTCATCCACAACTCTATTCCCAAACCAGTACTTTCCTATATCCTTCCTGAATCTGGATTTTTCCAACTTAAAACCATTGCTGCGAGTCCTATCTTGAGTAGACATTTTTAGCACGCTATTTACATTCCCTTTATTTATTCCAAGTTTCCATTTATACACCTCAGTTACATCCCCCCTAATTCTTTGCCTTTCTAGAGAGTGTAGATTCAGGGCCTCAGTCTATCTTCCTAGGGAAGATTTCTGATATATGGGATCAACTTTGTCATCCTCCTCTGTACATTTTCCAGATTTCTGTAAAAAGGCGACCAGAACTGTGCAGCATATTCTAAATGAGGCCTCAACACGGATATATAGAGTTGAAGAACAACCTGAGGACTCCTATTATTTATGCTCCTTGATATGAAGCCAAGGATTCTGTTAGCTTTATTGCGAACACTTATGCACTGTTGTCTTGGTTTTAGATTACTGCTAACCAGAACTCCTAAATCCTTTTCGCAATCAGTAATATTAAGATCAACATTATTTAGTTTATATGTGGCATGGTTATTTTACTGTCCAGACTGATGCAGTGGTCGGAAACCGCTGCATCAGTATAATCAGATCATCCTGGAGTGCTCTAGTGTCCTCATTAGAATGAATTAGGCGCCTTATTTTGGTGTTATCAACAAACTTGCTTATGTAGCTATTTGTTCTCTCATCAATGTCGTTTATATAAAATGTGAACAACAAAGGGCCCAACACTGATCCCTGTGAAACACCACTTGTGATGCGGCCCCGCTCTGATTTTTCCCCATTGATGCAAACTCTCTATTGCTTAACTGTCAACCATGCCTATTCCTAGGAAAAAATTCTCATCCTATTCCATGTGCCTTAATTTTCCTCAATAACGTCTGATGTGGAACTCTATCAGAAGCCTTACTGAAGTCCATATACACAGTATCATGTTTATTACCATGATCTACCTCCTCAAATACCTTGGTGAGAAAAAGTTAGTAAATTCGTAAGACAGGAACGCCCCTTTGTAAAACCGTGTTGAGATTCATTAATCAATTTATGCCTTTCAAGATGGTTACGAATTGCCTCGGCAAGTACTGAATTCATAAATTTTCCCACTATAGTTCGAAGCTATGGACCTGTCTCCTGCTTTGTAAATAGGTATTGCATTTGCCATTTTTTACTTGTCTGGCACTATGCCAGTTTGTAGTGATATGTTAAAAAGACTAGCAAAAGGATTGCTAAGCTCCTCTTTACATTCCTTTAAAACCCTTGCAAACAGTTCATTAGGACCTGGGGATTTGTTAGGTTTAAATTTCTCTATTTGTCTGAGGATCATGTCACTATTTACCCTAATGGTGCAGTTTATTATCGTCCTGTTCTACATAATTTATTATTTCTGGAATTTTGCTGGTATCTTCCTGCATAAAAACGGGGAGGAAATAAGAGTTAAAAATTTCACACATTTCCTAATCACTGTCAGTGATCTGACCTGAGTTACTTTTGAGCAGACCAATCTTATCCCTAATCTTACTTTTACAACAACAACAACAACAACAACAACAACAACAACAACAACAACAACAACAACAACAACAATAATAATAATAATAATAATAATAATAATAATAATAATAATCATATCTTTATTTACTACAAGTGGTGTGCAGTGACTGTACAAGGTATACAGTCCTAGCTGACATCAATGACATACTACTATATAGAAAGCCGCTTGTTATGCAGAGCATTTCGGGAAAATTAGGTCAGTTTTGTCCCAGGATGCGACCCACACCAGTCTCATAATCTCTATTTACCTTTTCTTATTCCCTTTTTATTTCTCTCTTTTCTTGAATATATTGATTGCTTAACTGCCCATCCACTCTTTTGATATGCCTATATATGCTTCTCTTTTGACCAATGTGATAAACATTGTCTATCCATTTGGGATCACTTTTGGTTGATCTAATTTCCTTACTTGGAACGTAAGTTATCTGGGCAGCTGGAACTATGCTCTGAAAAGCGTCATATTAGCAACCAACACCACTTACCTGACCCATAGTAGGTCGTTCCAACTTAGACCACCCAGGTAATTTCTCAGTCCCATGAAATCGGCCAAGCGGAAGCCTGGGACAGTAACCTAATTATTATTATTATACATTTACCTAACCTACCCTAAACAAGAATAATAAATGTGCACTCTTTTTATTAAAACTACACTGATGCAGAAATACGCACGCGACAATTAGCCGCACATAGGAGAATGAAGCTTTTGACAACGTTTTGGTCCGACTTGGACTGAAACCTATGTGCAGGTTATTTGTGTATTGTTCTAGTCAGGGTATTATGCGGTGATAATGAAACCGGAGGACAGACTGCGGTGTAATAATGAGCATTTTGTAATACTTGTGAGTTTGGACCTACTTTTACATATGGATTTTGTCCACAAATTAACCAGCGAGGCTGTATAAGGTAGGATAAGATCGTTAGGATAGTGATTACTTCCACAGTTGTATATCTTGTCCTGCTGTTACCTCTGGGGCTACCATCGCCTTTCATAGGTCAAACATTATTTGTTCTCATTTCCCAGGTTTTGAAATTGATGCTTAAACAGTGTTGACTGAGGGGCGACTGGTGTTACTGTGTTATCAGTCAGTTAACAGTGACTGAGGGGCGACTGGTGTTACTGTGTCATCAGTCAGTTAACAGTGACTGAGGGACGACTGGTGTTACTGTGCCATCAGTCAGTTAACAGTGACTGAGGGACGACTGATGTTACTGTGCCATCAGTCAGCTAACAGTGACTGAGGGACGACTGGTGTTACTGCGCCATCAGTCAGTTAACAGTGACTGAGGGACGACTGGTGTTACTGTGCCATCAGTCAGTTAACAGTGACTGAGGGACGACTAGTGTTGCTGCGCCATCAGTCAGTTAACAGTGACTGAGGGACGACTAGTGTTACTGCGCCATCAGTCAGTTAACAGTGACTGAGGGACGACTGGTGTTACTGCGCCATCAGTCAGTTAACAGTGGATAACTCATATATTTGTCATTACAGAATCCGTCGGCGGAAATGGTATCGTCTCTTCATGTGACCAGCCCGAGGGTCGGGTGGCGTCGCCTTGAGGTGACTTCGGCAGTGCAGCGGTGGTTCGCCAGGCCTGGAGAGCGTCTACGGCTGCTAGTAGACTGTAGCAGCTGCAGCGGGGAGCTGGAAGCGGCGCTGTTTACGCCGCGCAAGCACAAGGGAGCGCACAAGCCTGGGTCTCGGCGTGCGGAGGCATCCCATAGGCCTTTCCTAGTAGTACATACCGTCCCCACACCCTCGAGACGCCTCTCCCGCCGCGCGCTCCAGTGTGATAAAGACACCAAAATGTGTTGCAAGCAGAATCTTTATATTTCTTTCAGAGAACTGGGCTGGGATGACTGGATCATAGCGCCCAGCGGCTATAATGCCAACTACTGCAAAGGCTCATGTGCCAGTGTTTTCCGCACCCCCGACTCCTTCACCCATTTTTATTCGCAGATGCTGGAGGAAGTCAGCCGGCACCGTCCTCCCGGAGCGCTGACGCAGTGCTGCGCCCCCACAAAGCTCTCGCCCATGTCTCTCATCTATCTCGACGAGATCTCGAACATCATCAAGCGAGACGTGCCCCGCATGGTGGTCGAAGAGTGCGGGTGTGCGTAACGTTGTTCCCGCTGCAAGAGCCGCCACAGCTGGGGAGAGTGATGGTTGACTGTGATGCCTCGCCCGACGCAGCAGCGCCCGACGCAGCAGCGCCCGACGCAGCAGCGCCCGACGCAGCAGCGCCCGACGCAAACTCGCCGGGCGCCACGCGTTCCTCCAAGGGACGAACTTGGGATATAGTCTGATCTGTGATCATAACTTTAAGCGTTGTGTTGTTTTGTTGTTGTTGTTCTTGTACAGACTTGTAAAGTGTGCGGCCCAGAGCGGCCCGCTGTAGTCCGCAAGCCCAGCCTGGCCGCCCACACCGCCCACGCCGCCCACGGGGCCACCAGCAGGGGCAGGGGCCGCCCACACCCACGCCCACACCGCCCTCCTTCACCGTTGCTGTTCCGCCCACTGTTGCCTGGTGGTGGTGGTGTCCCGCCCACTGTCTTATGTCTGCTCACTGCCGCCCACATGTGCCGCCCGTCACCCACTGACGCCCTACTACCCGCCCGCTGCTCATGCATCCGCCCATTGTGCGTCCGCCCACCAGCCTGTGTTCACACGTCGCCCACCGCCCTCTGTCCGCCCAACTTACTATATTCGCTCTGTATCCGCAACGTAAAGCCTTTGTGTGTTGGTCTTCCGCCCACCAGAGTGTGGGCGTCACCACACCCAGGACCACTCATCACGCCCATGCAAACCCAGGATCACGCCCATGCTGGAGGCCACCGCCCAGCTTCAACACCTTCGCCTCTGCCTGGCCTAGGACCACGTCGCCTTCTCCTAGAAACGTCTGCTAGGTCAAGGCCTGGCTTAATTAATATCAGAGATAAGGTCTGGCTAGGACCACGTACTAACGTGTGGTAACGTGTCCAGACCAATGATGTGATGAAGCATATCTTTACACCGGGCTTCCCTGTCTTCTTCCATCCAGCAATGTGGTAGCACCAGCCTGAAGATGTGGTAGCACCAGCCTGAAGATGTGGTAGCACCAGCCTGAAGATGTGGTAGCACCAGCCTGAAGATGTGGTAGCACCAGCCTGAAGATGTGGTAGCACCAGCCTGAAGATGTGGTAGCACCAGCCTGAAGATGTGGTAGCACCAGCCTGAAGATGTGGTAGCACCAGCCTGAAGATGTGGTAGCACCAGCCTGAAGATGTGGTAGCACCAGCCTGAAGATGTGGTAGCACCAGCCTGAAGATGTGGTAGTACCAGCCTGAAGATGTGGTAGCACCAAACTGAAGATACCTTCTTACAGGTGGAGAACAAATAAGAGTTAGTGTGCCTGAAAAGTTATCTGCCTACGTGATAATAACAACTTTTAGCATTATATATGTATATGTGTGTATGTATATATATATATAATATATATATATATATATATATATATATATATATATATATATATATATATATATATATATATATATATATATATATAAATGAAAACGATATGTTAACTTGTTCAAGGTGTTCTCATTATTGGTGTCGAAATAAACAACCTAATAAGTGCCGTAGTTAGTAAGTGCCGTAGGTAGTGCCATGTTTGTGCCAGGAGTGATATGCAGCATTTCTCATCCCGGAGCACTTAGGATGAGAGCAAAAAATATATATTTTTTAATTTAGTTAAGAGCGTACGAAAGTAGAGAGAGTTTCGTGAAGGCAATACTTCTGATAATCTCTTCTCAGCGATTTTTCCTCTGCAAAATGGATGAGAAATACAGCAAAAGGGAGAGAACCGTGTCTTGCCCCACCCATGGAGGTTCAGACGTCCTGAGAGAACCGTGTCTTGCCTCACCCATGGAGGTTCAGACGTCCTGAGAGAACCGTGTCTTGCCTCACCCATGGAGGTTCAGACGTCCTGAGAAAACCGTGTCTTGCCTCATCCATGGAGGTTCAGACGTCCTGAAAGAACCGTGTCTTGCCTCATCCATGGAGGTTCAGACGTCCTGAGAGAACCGTGTCTTGCCTCACCCATGGAGGTTCAGACGTCCTGAGAAAACCGTGTCTTGCCTCATCCATGGAGGTTCAGACGTCCTGAAAGAACCGTGTCTTGCCTCATCCATGGAGGTTCAGACGTCCTGAGAGAACCGTGTCTTGCCTCATCCATGGAGGTTCAGACGTCCTGAGAGTGTTGCAGAGCCTAGTGTTGTGCAGCAACCAGACATATACTCTGAGAGTCGCTCTCAGAGGCAACACAAATCTATAAAGACGTCGAGAGAGTTTGACGTAGTGTGTGTGTGTGTGTTTGTGTGTGTATGTGTGTGTATGTGTGTGTATGTGTGTGTGTGTGTATGTGTGTGTGTGTGTGTGTGTGTGTGTGTGTGTGTGTGTGTGTGTGTGTGTGTGTGTGTGTGTGTGTGTGTGTGTGTGTGAGAGAGAGAGCTGGAGAATTGAGGTAAAGGCTTTCCTCTCTACTCTCTCTCTCTCTCTCTCTCTCTCTCTCTCTCTCTCTCTCTCTCTCTCTCTCTCCCTCTCTCTTTCTCTCTTATCAAATTCGTCTGGTTACACTTACAATAACTAGCCAACCTTCAGTTCCGCACGCCTGAGCACCAGCCTCCTGCCAGTGTTATGTAATAACATTTCTCACTAAGTGTGTGTGTGTACTTGCCTATTTGTGGTTGCAGGGGTCGATTCACAGCTCTTCTGTGTGTGTGTGTACTACTGGTCTAGTATTAGTGATATTTTAATACGATGTTTGACAAAAAAATTCTCAACTTCATATTCACTACAAATATATTATCTATTTTTAAAGCCTTGCAGCTTCTTTGAGTTGTTATAGATTTAGGTACGTTTATAAGCTTATATGCTAAGTGAATAAAGCTTAAATACTAAGCGTATAAAGCTTAAATACCTTCACTAAACAGAAGACAAAAAAGTTGGACTACTCTTTGTTTCGCCCATCGCTCGTCAACACTGCAGTTGTACATTGATAATCATCTAGAAGGGTTCGAAGAGAGGCGGAAAGTATTTCACAATAACCTCGTTACCGCTCCACATCCACAGTCTTCATCTAAGAGCCGGTTCTCTTGGTTCTGGGGGCTGGGAGAACCAAAGTGGTGACCTTTTATTGGGAAAACCACAGTGATGACCTTTTATTGAGGGAACCATACTCATGACCTTTTATTGGGAGAACCATAGTGGTGACCTTTTATTGAGAACCATAGTGTTGACCTTTTATTGAAAGAACCATGATTATTTTTATTGGGAGAACCACTGTGATGACCTTTTACTGGGAGATCAATAGTGATCACCTTTTATTTAGAGAACCATAGTGATGACCTTTTATTGAGAGAACCATAGTGATGACCATTTATTGAGAGAACCATAGTGATGACCTTTTATTGAGAGAACCATAGTGATGACCATTTATGGAGAGAACCATAGTGATGACCATTTATTGAGAGAACCATAGTGATGACCATTTATTGAGAGAACCATAGTGATGACCATTTATTGAGAGAGCCATAGTGATGACCATTTATTGAGAGAGCCATAGTGATGACCTTTTATTGAGAGAACCATAGTGATGACCATTTATTGAGAGAACCATAGTGATGACCATTTATTGAGAGAACCATAGTGATGACCATTTATTGAGAGAGCCATAGTGATGACCATTTATTGAGAGAGCCATAGTGATGACCTTTTATTGAGAGAACCATAGTGATGACCATTTATTGAGAGAACCATAGTGATGACCATTTATTGAGAGAGCCATAGTGATGACCTTTTATTGAGAGAACCATAGTGATGACCATTTATTGAGAGAACCATAGTGATGACCTTTTATTGAGAGAACCATAGTGATGACCATTTATGGAGAGAACCATAGTGATGACCATTTATTGAGAGAACCATAGTGATGACCATTTATTGAGAGAGCCATAGTGATGACCTTTTATTGAGAGAACCATAGTTATGACCATTTATTGAGAGAGCCATAGTGATGACCATTTATTGAGAGAACCATAGTGATGACCATTTATTGAGAGAACCATAGTGATGGCCTTTTATAACAAGTTTAGAGGCCACAAAAAATACGATGCTTGCTTTAAAACCTTTACGAGAGAAAAGCGACATTTATAGAGCATACAGCTAACATTTGCAACATCAACACAAGGACATTTATTTTTGTATCCTCTGATGATAATTATAGCAATAATAATAATAATAATAATAATAATAATAATAATAATAATAATAATAATAATAATAATAATAATAATAATAATAATAATAAAATAATAATAAAAATAAATATAATAATAATAATAACAATAATAATAATAATAATAATAATAATAATAATAATAATAATAATAATAATAATAATAATAATAATAATAATAATAAAATAATAATAAAAATAAATATAATAATAATAATAACAATAATATAATAATAATAATAATAATAATAATAATAATAATAATAATAATAATAATAATAATAATAATAATAATAATGAAAGTTACAAATATGTTGGTGTGGAGATCAGGTTCAGAAGATCAGGTTCTGATTACCAGGTTGTGAAGATTAGGTTCTGGAAATCAGGTTCAGGAGATCAAGTTCAAGAGACCAGGTTCTGGAGATCAGGTTCTGGAGATGAGGTTCAGGAGATCAGGGTCGGGAGATCAGATTCAGGAGATGAGGTTCTGGGGGTCAGGTTCGGGAGATCAGGTTCTGGAGATCAGGTTCTGGAAATCAGGTTAGGGAGATCATGTACTGGAGATCAGGTTCTGGAGGTCAAGTTGAGGAGATCAGATTCAGGAGATCAAAAGTACTGATCGGTGGCAGCATTTACACTTACTAAAATTTCAATGAATGAGACTCAGATTTAAGGACACTTATGAGACTGTCTTAGCGGCTGTGAGGTGGGATTTCTGTGTTTGTATGTATGTGTTCGAGTGTGTTAACAGGAGAGGCTGGTGTTCAGGTGAGGAACACCTGGGTACCTGCGTTGTCAAGCAAACATTCTAATTCTATTGTACCGGCTGCTTCCTCCATGACACTCAACAGGATGACTTAGAGGCTAACATTATCATATGGTTTCATTGATATATATATATATATATATATATATATATATATATATATATATATATATATATATATATATATATATATATATATATATATATGTCGTGCCGAATATGTAAAACTGGTCAATTAGCAAGAACTCATTTAAAATTAAGTCCTTTCTGAAATTTTCTCTTATACGTTTAAAGATATATTTTTTTCAATAATGTTAATGTAAAAAATTTTAAATTTGCACCAAAAGCATCTTAGAAAACTTACCTAACCTTATTATAACAAGAGCAATTTATTTTAGCCTAACCCAACTAAATATATTTTAAACACGTTTACAGTAATTTAGTATTAAACAAACACAATCAAATATATTTTTTTCGTTAGGTTCAGAATGATTTTGGCGAAATTATTGCATACACAAATTTTCACTTGTCCTATATGGCAAGATGAGCGTTGCTATTTAAGCCAAGAATGCAAGTTCTGTCTATTCGGCACGACATATATATATATATATATATATATATATATATATATATATATATATATATATATATATATATATATATATATATATATATATATATATATATATATATATATATATATATATATATATATATATATATATATATATATATATATATATATATATATATATATATTTCAGATTAGCAGGAGGAGTGAGTGCAAAGTTTGCAGAAATCATAAGAGTGAGATGCAAACGAAAGTGCTATGGCACTTTCGTTTATTTATTTGGACATCTTCTGAGGTAGCTAACAATGAACAGACCAACTGGTTTACATATATATAAGAACAATGAACAAGTATAATGTAAAAGATGTGAGATGCTTCCCTATATAATGTAAGGAGCAATATCAGATTATACTGTACATGTGAGCTGAGGTCACTAGAAATAATGATCAAGCTCTGGTCGAAATTAATTAAGGTCTAAAAAAGCTTGTTGATTGTAACACTTTGAACACTTTGACTTAATGATCTGTACTGTTTTTTCCATTATAAGTCTAAGTACTGGCGGAGCAACCTACAACAGAGACTGTCAGAGGCGCGAGATGCTCTCACTGTTGGCTTCTGGGAGCTGAACCTCTCCAGACAACATTGTTAGGAGGAAACTAGAACATTCTGATACATGTAAGTCTTCACACGACCTCCAGTGACCTCATGTCAACTGCGTACTCCACCACAGGACCTCCAGTGACCTCACGTCACCTGCGTACTCCACCACAGGACCTCCAGTGACCTCACGTCACCTGCGTACTCCACCAC